GGAGCCTTAAATGGGTACCAAGTAAAGTCCTGGGAATTTATGGTGGCTGGTATGATGTTAACAACATCACCCCCCCCTCCCCAGAGTGCCAACTGGTCTATAAAATATAGGTCTAGCCGTATATGCCCGACACATCTAAAGGTATGGGAGAGGCTCCTTGACTAGAGTATGTGGGAAGCTACAGAACCGTAAGCTTCAATGTTTTGGGTTCAAATACGCAGCCAGGTGGACTTTTATAATGGACCAAAGGTTTGCAGACTGACCCAGCCTAAACAAAAGGTTGCAGAAAATAGCCTGGGAAGTCAAAGTGGCTAGCATGCCATTGACCATAGTGCCCACAAAGAGCTGATTTGTCTATACAAATATTGGTATAGCAACATATACTCGAATGTTTCACTGGCAGGAAAATGATCCTTGGCTTATCTTTCTGACCTCTCAGGGAAACAGGGCCACAAGAAAGTTAAAAAAATTTAAAAAAAAAAAAATTGGGGGGGGGGGGGGGGGGGGGGGGGGGGGGGGGGGGGAGGAGGAGGGGGGGGGGTGCGTGTGAAATCAATAGTAAATGACAATAACACCAATTCCTGACCTAGTTATGGTGCTGAAACCAAAAGTTGGGAGGGGGGGGGGGGGTCAACAATGCTACGTTCCCGTGTTGTCCATGTGTTGACCAAGTAATGGTGGCACTTCAAAAGAGTCAACACCAGCTACCAAAGTTGTCCATGTGTTGACCAAGTAATGGGAGCATTTCAAAAGAGTCAACACCGACTACCAAGGTTGTCCATGTGCTGACCAAGTAATGGGAGCACTTCAAAAGAGTCAACACCAGCTACTAAGGTTGTCCATGTTCTGACCAAGTAATGGGAGCACTTCAAAAGAGTCAACACCAGCTACTAAGGTTGTCCATGTTCTGACCAAGTAATGGGAGCACTTCAAAAGAGTCAACACCAGCTACCAAAGTTGTCCATGTGCTGACCAAGTAATGGGAGCACTTCAAAAGAGTCAACACCGACTACCAAGGTTGTCCATGTGCTGACCAAGTAATGGGAGCACTTCAAAAGAGTCAACACCGACTACCAAGGTTGTCCATGTGCTGACCAAGTAATGGGAGCATTTCAAAAAAGTCAACACCGGCTACCAAGGTTGTCCATGTGCTGACCAAGTAATGGGAGCACTTCAAAAGAGTCAACACCAGCTACCAAGGTTGTCCATGTGAACAATCAGAATTGGGTGGGTGATGTGGTCAACAAAGCTGCCTTTACTAACCCAGGATTTTACGTGGGACCCACTCAAGGCTGGGTCGCCCTGGAAGCCATGGTAATTTCTGATCCCAATTTAAGGCTGGGTCCCCCTGGTAGCCATGGTCATTTCTGATCCCCATAACCTCAGTACCTGTTGAAGTTATCATGCACTTGCAATGATCCCCTTAACCTCAGCACCTGTTGAAGTTATCATGCACTTGCAATGATCCCCTTAACCTCAGCACCTGTTGAAGTTATCATGCACTTGCAATGATCCCCTTAACCTCAGCACCTGTTGAAGTTACCATGTACTAGCAATGATCCCCTTAACCTCAGTACCTGTTGAAGTTACCATGTACTAGCAATGATCCCCATAACTTCAGTACCTGTTGAAGTTACCATGTACTAGCAATGATCCCCTTAACCTCAGTACCTGTTGAAGTTACCATGTACTAGCAATGATCCCCATAACCTCAGCACCTGTTGAAGTTATCATGTACTAGCAATGATCCCCTTAACCTCAGTAACTGTTGAAGTTATCATGTACTAGCAATGATCCCCTTAACCTCAGCACCTGTTGAAGTTATCATGTACTAGCAATGATCCCCTTAACCTCAGCACCTGTTGAAGTTATCATGTACTAGCAATGATCCCCTTAACCTCAGCACCTGTTGAAGTTACCATGTACTAGCAATGATCCCCTTAACCTCAGTACCTGTTGAAGTTACCATGTACTAGCAATGATCCCATAACCTCAGTACCTGTTGTTATCATGTACTAGCAATGATCCCATAACCTCAGTACCTATTGAAGTTACCATGTACTAGCAATGATCCCAATAACCTCAGCACAAAGCCAAACGGACAAACAACCAGGACTGTCCGCAAAAGCTTACAGGGCCTGAACCCATGATCTTCGGATCCACAGGCAAGTGTTTAGCCACTACACCATGGTGGCTCCCACTTATTACTGCAAGTACAAGTGTTTAGCCACTACACTGGTGGCTCCCACTTATTACTGCAAGTACAAGTGTTTAGCCACTACACTGGTGGCTCCCACTTATTACTGCAAGTACACTGAACTAAAAACTAAAAAAAATGTGTAAACATAAATAATTGTGAGACTTGCTTGCAAAACAAACTTTACATAAAATATCACACAATCAAAACAATATTACAATATTCATGGATGCAAGTGAACTTTATACACTGACATGGAAATCCATCTGGGACACAGCTGTTGTGCTTTTTCATTTCCCTCCTCTCCTTCTTTTTCCTCTTCTTGTGCTTCATCTTCTCCTTCTTCTTCTTATTTTATTGTTCTTGTTCTGCATCTTCTTCATCATCAGTGACCAATCTTGGCTCTATGTTATCACAATCGACATCACTGCACACTGGGCATTTCCACGTGTGCTTAGCCCTCCGCTGCAGCAGTCACTCCAAGGTTCTTCAACAAACTGTTCCCATGAGAGGCTGGTTATAATGTCTCCTATCTCGGCCTCGAAGGCGGTACAGACGTGCTTCACCATGCTTTACTCCCATATCATGCAATCGTGTTAGTGTCAGAGATTCTTCATTATCCTCTAGCCCAGTATGTACAGTATTGATGATAACTGCTCTGTCCATGCTTCTCCTCACACGTGTTGGTGTAATGCTTGCCAGCTGGTTGGCTCGCTCATGACCTTTTATGCCAGCATGACCAGGTGTGTAGATTCAAGTGACAGACGTTAAATGCAACTTTCGAATTCTGTCTACCCATTCAGAGCCCATATCGCCTGTTGATTTCTTCTAAAGCATGTTCAAGGAGTCTGATAAAATATTGTGCATGTGTGGCTGTTTGCTCTGCTGACCAAGCTAGTGCTCTAGAAGCAGGGGCTATCTCCATGGTTATGCTTGATGTAGTGCCTGGTAAGCCACACTGTCCTATTGTCTTGTTATCCCCACCCTTTGTGTTGTGTATGCTCATGCTGACCTTGACCCGTGCTTCACGGATCCATCTGTGAAGATGATGATGTCTCCTAGGTCTGCATCTATCCAGCATGCATCACAAACAGGGCTGTATGCTTGAGGCCTTCACTAGTGCCCCAGGATCACTCCTATGGGCCAGGTAACAGACACAGCAATAGAGATGAACACAGTTGGCTGGCTCTGGAGTAACTGAAATATAAAACTGGATAGACCTTGGCAGACTGGTCAGATTTCCTAGTGGAAAAGAACTTTCAAGTCTCTAAAGCTAAAGTTGTTTGATTAAGGTTTGCCCAAAAAACTCCTAATAATATAGTCTGTCTGATAAACCAACCATCCATTTGTCACTCTGGCTTGTGGAGGTTGGTGGTTAATTTGCCACCATGTACTTTAACCTCAATACTTGTTGAAGTTACCATGTACTAGCAATGATCCCCTTAACCTCAGTACCTGTTGAAGTTATCATGTACTAGCAATGATCCCCTTAACCTCAGTACCTGTTGAAGTTACCATGTACTTGCAATGATACCCTTAACCTCAGTACCTGTTGAAGTTATCATGTACTAGCAATGATCCCCTTAACCTCAGTACCTGTTGAAGTTACCATGTACTAGCAATGATCCCCTTAACCTCAGTACCTGTTGAAGTTACCATGTACTAGCAATGATCCCCTTAACCTCAGTACCTGTTGAAGTTACCATGTACTAGTAATGATCCCCTTAACCTCAGTACCTGTTGAAGTTACCAAGCACTAGCAATGATCCCCTTAACCTCAGTACCTGTTGAAGTTACCATGTTTGTTTGTTTGTTTTAGTATCCAGAAGCCATGAGTTGTTAACCCTTAGGCTCGGTATTATGGATATCGCAACCTTTCGGCCTTGATTCCATTGTAAATACCGTAAATCTGGGAGAAAATGTGGCTTTCCTGCCTACCCCCGGGATTGAACCCGGACCACAAGGAGTACGTCACCCGGTCTCCGCGAAATCCGGTTTAGCCAATTCCGCTAGAGAGCCGGGTGAAGTTACCATGTACTAGTAATGATCCCCTTAACCTCAGTACCTGTTGAAGTTACCATGTACTAGCAATGATCCCCATAACCTCAGTACCTGTTGAAGTTACCATGCACTAGCAATGATCCCCTTAATCTCAGTACCTGTTGAAGTTACCAAGCACTAGCAATGATCCCCATAACCTCAGTACCCGTTGAAGTTAAAATGTACTAGTAATGATCCCCATAACCTCAGCACAAAGCCAAACGCCAAATGGATGAACAACCAGAACTGTCCGCCAGAGCTTACAGAACAATGAAGAAGAAGAAGAAAGTCAACCTATCTTTTCCCTTGCATGCTGGGAATTATCCTGACAGTGAATCAGTCTCACTAGCTATGGATGTTGTGTCTATTCCACTGCTTCGAGTAATCTATCTTAAATAGCTTTTACATCTGTTTTTACCACAAAGTAAGCTGTCCAGAGGAGTGGCGGAAATCTATCTGCCAGCTAACTTTCCAAAGCATACCGATAAATCTGTTGAGACACCCAGTAGTTAATAATTAAGTGTTTTTGTCATGTACGGAAACTGGTCATTGTTTGGTGGTGATTTATGTAGCAAACGATGAGTTCAGAATTGATGAATCCTACAAAAATAAGTTGTCCATCAAACCGAAAGCTCCTTTCATCATTATCAAGTATGCGAAAGAAAAATCATTTGAAATGTCATGTGAGAAGAGTCCGACTGTATACACCACAGACTGCGATTTTAGTTCATGATTCGTATGGATGACTAGCTGCGATCCCATGTCAAAGAGTCCATTTGGCACGCTGGGCTTGGATTTCACTGCGAAGGTTCTGTGCAAAGCAGATTCCCAAAATCTGCAGCAATGCTAGGCCAACTGCCACACCTGCCACAGGGATGAGGTTTGACTCCAGCCATCTTTCTCCAGCAGGGATGCAACCAATTGTGTGGATCTTTGTGCCTCTGTCAAAGTCCTGCAGCATAAGACAACAGGTAGTGAAAACTCAGTGAAACAGTTTAGGTAACAAGAATCCAACAGCATAAATAATGCACTTATTTATACGACATACAAACAGATGTAATAACAGAAATCCACTTACTGGACACAACTGCAGAACAAACATGGTCACATTTGTAACCAAAAGAGCACTATTTAATATAGTAAATTTTTTTTAAAACAAAAAATTGTGTTACCGGTGCCAACCACGGATATAACAAGAAGAAGATAAAGAAAATGTCTATGACAAATCCTAAATGCAACAGACAGGATTAGATCCAGCCTTATCAAGAAACACGCTAGGACGTAACCAGTGCTAAATGACATCAAAAGACAACAGAGATAGTTCGGAACCGCTAAGCCCACAAAGAAAGCACCAAGCATGTATTCAGCCCCTGATATGCACAGCCTGGAAGATAAAGGAATCATGATACCAACAAGTTCAGTTACTTACATGCTCCACTTTCATCATCTCAAACCCACAGTGTCGGTTTCTCAGCTCCTCCTGGAAGAAGCAACGATGAATGACAACATTAGTCAGTTAAGAACTATTGTGATGCTTTTAATGCATCAGGCACACAGTAAAGCACCCTCCTCCACACCCTTAGGAAGACTGGGCACATCGTGCTAGACCTCTCTGTGAGGGTTCCGGGGCCCTCTTGTGGGGAAAACAAAAAAGTATGTCGTAAGAGTCGACTCATTGGGAGCTTCCTTCGAAGACGGAGTGCATCTGCCTGAGACGCAAGGAACCAACAGTCTGTATACAAATGAGCCTGATCTGAAAAACTAAAGTACACGCAACACTCAGGTTTTGGAACAGTCCGGAGGTGGACAAATTGCCAGAACTTTCCGCCCGAGTTGACAGCCGGTGAACGCGAAGAACAGGGGCTAGACCTATATTCTATAGACCAATCAGCGTTTGGTGGAAAATGTGGTCAACATCATGCTGGCCTCCTTTACTTCCCAAGACTTTACCAGGTACCCATTTAAGACTGGGTCAACCTGGCAGCCAAGGTAATTTCTGAGGAAATTCCAGCTCTATGTGCATTTTGACCCACGACCTTCCGATCCGCAGGCAGTCTAGCCACAACACCATGGCGGCTCCTCAGGTACAAGTCCCAGACCTCTATTTTTATAGACCAATCAGCACTCGGTGGGTTATGTGGTCAATGTTATGCCAGAATTAGAATATTTGTGACGAAATGACCTCAGTGGTCTCAGAAGTTATATTGTGTTTGATAATTTCTTATGTTCAGAGAAGGACAAAGAATTTAAAGCAATAGACACTGAGCCTAAAATAGTTCTAAAACCACTATAAGGGATTTGAGAATTGTTTAAACTGTGTTTCCCGTCTTAGCCAGACAAAGCAACCTTGCTTTATGTAATGTTACCTAATACTACTGTAGCTAGAGTTTCACCTGCCCATGTCATATTATTATCTCCTGCCCAGTCTGTAGAGGCAAGTAAAGGGGGAGATAACGTAGTATCACACCTGATTAGCTCCCCTGAACCCGACCGTAGTGTCATAAAAATTACATAACACACACTGAGTGGGGCCGTTTGATCAAACTGAATCAGGGGAATTAGTGGTCTGATAGACATTTCTAGACAGGCCGGCGTCCAGCGTCTGATGTTTCACACATGATAGTGAAATTCTCAAGAAAAAAGATGTTTGGCAATTAGGAATGTTTGATCTTGGTCAAGTAGGAAACACAATGGCTTCACTGACCGTCTTTTAACATCTGCCAGTTAGATTCGTTGTAAACCAGATTGGGTCACTTAAGAATGTGTGCTCTAGGGATGTCAGTCCAGAATTGAGTGACAGGTTACTTGTTAGCTAATTTGATCTGATAGGTACCTCAGAGGCGGGGCTTAGGTCATCTCCTTGAGGGTTGGGTAGAACCTAGTAGAGGGTGGAGTTTAACCTTGCAGACAGATAGAGGTATTAATAATACTAGCCTGTGGAATTTCCGTCATAATCGCTGCCACGAGCAACAAACAGGTCGACCTTAGAGGTAAATCTAATGGTTTGATTCTAGTTTGGCGATTGCTGGAAGTTTCCAGGTAAGCATGTACAATTATTTTCAATATTGTATACATAGGTTAGGGAGTTAGCTAAAATCTATTCTACCTTTTCCTAAATTGTTCTACACATTCTGCTTGAAATAGTTCTTTGTGAGTATTCAGTATCTCAGTTAGGGAACTGCTAAACCATTTCTATTTCTTGTATGTTTGTGGCACATGTTTTTCAGTGTATGTTTTCATGTTTATAAAATGAGACTTGTATACTGAAATGTAATGAAATTATAATGTTTCAACCATCAACCAAAACATAGGGTTGGACTGTGGGGAATGATGACCAAATATGCAGCCATGCTGTTACGTTTTGTGTGCCCACCATGTGCTCACTTAATGTGTTCACCTAAACAGGGGATTGATAACCCCAGGGGAAGAATCATGGGTGTATATTATTCACTGTCACTGAAAGATAATATTCAGGACAGCATGCACGTATAAAATCTTTTGCGTGTTCAGCACACAACCTGCGCCACATGTTTATGTCAAATCAATGTCAGCAAGTTGGAAGTCTGAGTGATGACGGACAACAGAAAGTCAACTATCATGACAGAACCTTAGAGGGAAGGCAGGATATGTGAGACGTCGGTGTGAGACACAAAGACCTTCAGAAAAGACTGGAGAGAATGTGGAATGTGAGGAGTGATGAGATATAATGTATTATTGTATATTGTATTAATTAACACATGTATTCTTAGTGTAAGTCAAGATACTACACGTATGTGTTTGTTTCCATTATTACAGCTCCCATGTGGGTGAGGATCAGTCTTTTCTAAGAACAGAAATAGAGGGTCATCACGGCCACGAGACTACATTGTGTTAGAACTTGGCCAGCTGGAAAACAGGTGGGAACCAGGTGGAAGGACCAGGAGAACTGGGCGGAAAGATTGGAACAGCTAAGAAGGGACTCAACACGAGGACTCTCAGAGGTTCCACTTTCTAAAGTTATGTAACATGTATTTATGTAACTAAACACCACCATTAGCATTTATCCTTATCTTAGGGGCTTAGTTATCAAGCTGAAGTATCCCATTACCACCATACCATCATTATTGACTAAAAATATAAAGAACTAAAATGATTATTAGGATAATAAATCAAGTATATGGTCTTATCCTGCATCAGTTTTTATAATTCCAAGTGTGTCTGTTCTTACCTGTTTAATTAAACTGTTAAGATAGAATAGCATTTGGTGGGGGCTCATTAAATAATAATAATAATTTTGTACCAAGAGAAGGTCGACGGATTGGGTCAACTGCCCTGTCTAGTAAATAATTCAAGATAATAATATATAGACATCTAAAACCCATTTCCTTCTCTTGTGGATACCAAGTTCAGCTAAAGTTAATATAAATAACGAGCCAATATGGCTGTTTTCTTGGATATCCAGGACTTTGTCTGAGAGCAACATAGCCCAGATAATAGTTCAGTTAATCTGGTGGAGGGGATGTGTTGAGAGGAAAATCCCTACTCAACATATAAATCATTTAAACCCACATCCAGAGAACCCACGACCCGGGACGTCACACTAAAAATGTTGTAATCTCAAGGGAAGTGGGCCGCAACGTCACACTGGGAGCTCGTCTGGGATGGACTTGGCTAATCACTCCTAGACTAATTATAGTAAATTTATTAAATTTAACTTCAACTCTTCTGCCAGTATATAGTCTAAATTAAAATTAGTAATTTATACATGGAGAGAGATTATAAAGTATAAAATAACTTTTTAACTAAATAAATGGATGGTATCATTTAACTGTCTATCATTGATCACGTCATAACCATTGATCATTGTTTATTCAGTAAATTTTAGATAGAGTTGATTTTGATTATATCTGCTTGCATGTTTCATCATTGGATATAGATTGTAGAACATTGAATGTTGACATCTTATCATTGATAGTTATGCTTAGTGACTGAATGTAATTTTACTTCACATCATTTACAGGCGTAATTTTGTGCTGCTATATCATTCTAAAAGCTGTCAGTCTGGTAGGCTGCTCTGTTTCATTCACATCACTGTGCTGCGGTAGTAGTCTACTCTGTTGTCCAGTTTATTGTACCTTGCTCTGACTTATCTCTCTTACTCTGACTCGGGAACTTATAATACCTCTGTCTTAATAGATCTAATAAGACAGAATGGATATACGTACCGAGTACCGAGAAATATGCATAAAATGTGGGGTAGCAGACGGCATGGTAGGGGCACAGTTAGAGACCTTTGTTAACTACCGTATGGTTCAGTGGGATGATAGGATTGCCTGGGTTGCTGCAGAGGAGAAGCGTCAGCGTGAGATAGAAGAAGAGGGTGAGATACAGCGTATAAGCGAACTTAACAGAAAGCGCCAGCTGGAGAGAGAGGAAAGTAAGATGCAGCAACAACTTCTAAGAGAAGAGCACGAGAGGGAGTTGCAACGTATGAAAGAAGAAGACGAAGTAAGCTACCAGCGTGAGATAGACAGAGAGAGAGAGTATCAGCTTATAAGAGCAGAACTCCTCAGAGAACTGAAGCAGTTCGACGAAGAAGACGAGAGAAGGCGACAGTCTACTCAAAAAGAATATGACAGAGAAAGGCGGCCTGAACAGCAAGCAGAAAATGGTGATGATACTATGAGTGCAGTCGAGGAAAGCACACCTCAGACTGACTCTAGGGCACAGATTGTAGAGGTTCAACCTCCCAATTTAGAAGTGCGCACCCCTTCTCCCAAAAGTTTAGAAGCTAGGGATAAGGATGAAAACCACCTCAAAAAAGACAGACAGTACCTCAAACCTACTAACCCAAAAGGGATACTAGGGAAACAGAAGAACTTTTCTAACAGGACCGTAGCTACATTGCCGGGACCCTTAGTTTCCAGTCTTAAGCCAACAAGGAAAAGATGGGACAAGAAAAAGAAATCTTCATAAGGGACCAGACCTACAATGCTGGGACCCCTTATTTCCATTAGCTCAGACGAGCAAAATGAGAAAATTCCTCCCTACCAGAAACTGAATCGTGGAAGGAAAAAGAGTGCCGTGGGTACCGTTAACAGTCACGAGCGTGACAGCAGAAACAGGGAAGCCACACCCGATTTCTTCAACCCTTCAAGTTTTGCAAAGAAAGACGAAGGGGATCCGCACATTCCGAAATGGAATAGTAGTAGGAAAACGAGAACCCCAAGCACAGGTGACAGTAGTCACAAGAATGAGGACTGCCTTGACTATAGACCCAGCGGTTTGACTGGCACACCAGCCACTAGTGAGAGCGAGGGCAAGACCTTAATGCTCTCTCAGATATCCTTCTGTTCGGCTGAACACGAAGAAAAAATTCAGGCTGAGACAGAGAATGACAGGACACCTGCTTCTCTTATCCTCTTCAGTGCGGCTGCACATGAAGAGAGAGTTAATCTCAGTTCTGACACCAACCCCCAAGAGGTTGATGACACAGGCGGTAACACGTCACTTCATTTATCTTCACTGGACTTGGCATCAGAAAGCCCGACCAGGAAGAAAGTGAATACTCGAGAGGAGAAACCTCCCGATATCTCCGAGTGCCTACAAGAGGGAACTCTGAAAGTACAGGATATTTCTGTAAACTCTATTGTGGATAGCGACACTGGACAAACCAGGATGTCTGCCAACACTAGAGAAGAAGCAACTTTTGTGGAACAGTGGGTGGAGACTTTAAAAAGAAGTAATGCCACCTTATCACTTTTGAAGACCCAAAAGTGTTTGAATGATCTGATCAGTTTATACACTGGCCAGACACGTGCACGCAGTGACTCCGACTGTGACACAATCTTTGAAGAATGTGACCGACTAGGCGGCTGTCTGGGTAAGGAGAGAAGGCGGCAAGAAAGAACAGATCTTTTGCGCTACCGAGAACAAGGCAGTGGCAAGTTCTGGGTACATCCTGGGATAATGATGTACGACAATACCCCTCATATAAAGAGGAGATTGAAAGATTTCAGCAGGATTGGTGCACGACGGCGAGAAAAAGCGGTGACCAAACTGACTGTGACTCATCCGTTTAGGAAATCACTTCAGGTGCTTCCATTACAGATTGGGAGGAGCCGAGTGACAGCAAACGTATATCAGCGCCGCAGAGAAGTCGGGTTGATTAAAAATGGAGTTCCCGGATTGTGGAGAAAGAAGGAACCTCCAGATAAAAGGATATTACCGAGCTTCGGCTTAGAATGCCTGCATGTTTCTAGGACTAAGGACTTAGCCTGGAAGAATGGACATATGGTGACTGTACAACGATGCAGGACATCTAGATTCCACAAGGAATATTGGGGAAGGAAACATTGGGACAGAAAGGAGCTGAGAAGTGTAATGAACTTCTTGGAAATCACTGAGTGTCTAAACATTGGCCACAGCGAGCTATGACCAAAATCAACCGTGGGCCTATGTGACGAAATGACCTCAGTGGTCTCAGAAGTTATATTGTGTTTGATAATTTCTTATGTTCAGAGAAGGACAAAGAATTAAAAGCAATAGACACTGAGCCTAAAATAGTTCTAAAACTACTATAAGGGATTTGAGAATTGTTTAAACTGTGTTTCCCGTCTTAGCCAGACAAAGCAACCTTGCTTTATGTAATGTTACCTAATACTACTGTAGCTAGAGTTTCACCTGCCCATGTCATATTATTATCTCCTGCCCAGTCTGTAGAGGCAAGTAAAGGGGGAGATAACGTAGTATCACACCTGATTAGCTCCCCTGAACCCGACCGTAGTGTCATAAAAATTACATAACACACACTGAGTGGGGCCGTTTGATCAAACTGAATCAGGGGAATTAGTGGTCTGATAGACATTTCTAGACAGGCCGGCGTCCAGCGTCTGATGTTTCACACATGATAGTGAAATTCTCAAGAGAACAGATGTTTGGCAATTAGGAATGTTTGATCTTGGTCAAGTAGGAAACACAATGTCTTCACTGACCGTCTTTTAACATCTGCCAGTTAGATTCGTTGTAAACCAGATTGGGTCACTTAAGAATGTGTGCTCTAGGGATGTCAGTCCAGAATTGAGTGACAGGTTACTTGTTAGCTAATTTGATCTGATAGGTACCTCAGAGGCGGGGCTTAGGTCATCTCCTTGAGGGTTGGGTAGAACCTAGTAGAGGGTGGAGTTTAACCTTGCAGACAGATAGAGGTATTAATAATACTAGCCTGTGGAATTTCCGTCATAATCGCTGCCACGAGCAACAAACAGGTCGACCTTAGAGGTAAATCTAATGATTTGATTCTAGTTTGGCGATTGCTGGAAGTTTCCAGGTAAGCATGTACAATTATTTTCAATATTGTATACATAGGTTAGGGAGTTAGCTAAAATCTATTCTACCTTTTCCTAAATTGTTCTACACATTCTGCTTGAAATAGTTCTTTGTGAGCATTCAGTATCTCAGTTAAGGAACTGCTAAACCATTTCTATTTCTTGTATGTTTGTGGCACATGTTTTTCAGTGTATGTTTTCATGTTTATAAAATAAGACTTGTATACTGAAATGTAATGAAATTATAATGTTTCAACCATCAACCAAAACATAGGGTTGGACTGTGGGGAATGATGACCACATATGCAGCCATGCTGTTACGTTTTGTGTGCTCACCATGTGCTCACTTAATGTGTTCACCTAAACAGGGGATTGATAACCCCAGGGGAAGAATCATGGGTGTATATTATTCACTGTCACTGAAAGATAATATTCAGGACAGCATGCACGTATAAAATCTTTTGCGTGTTCAGCACACAACCTGCGCCACATGTTTATGTCAAATCAATGTCAGCAAGTTGGAAGTCTGAGTGATGACGGACAACAGAAAGTCAACTATCATGACAGAACCTTAGAGGGAAGGCAGGATATGTGAGACGTCGGTGTGAGACACAAAGACCTTCAGAATAGACTGGAGAGAATGTGGAATGTGATGAGTAATGAGATATAATGTATTATTGTATATTGTATTAATTAACACATGTATTCTTAGTGTAAGTCAAGATACTACACGTATGTGTTTGTCCCATTATTACAGCTCCCATGTGGGTGAGGATCAGTCTTTTCTAAGAACAGAAATAGAGGGTCATCACGGCCACGAGACTACATTGTGTTAGAACTCGGCCAGCTGGGAAACAGGTGGGAACCAGGTGGAAGGACCAGGAGAACTGGGCGGAAAGATTGGAACAGCTAAGAAGGGACTCAACACGAGGACTCTCAGAGGTTCCACTTTCTAAAGTTATGTAACATGTATTTATGTAACTAAACACCACCATTATCATTTATCCTTATCTTAGGGGCTTAGTTATCAAGCTGAAGTATCCCATTACCACCATACCATCATTATTGACTAAAAATATAAAGAACTAAAATGATTATTAGGATAATAAATCAAGTATATGGTCTTATCCTGCATCAGTTTTTATAATTCCAAGTGTGTCTGTTCTTACCTGTTTAATTAAACTGTTAAGATAGAATAGCATTTGGTGGGGGCTCATTAAATAATAATAATAATTTTGTACCAAGAGAAGGTCGACGGATTGGGTCAACTGCCCTGTCTAGTAAATAATTCAAGATAATAATATATAGACATCTAAAACCCATTTCCTTCTCTTGTGGATACCAAGTTCAGCTAAAGTTAATATAAATAACGAGCCAATATGGCTGTTTTCTTGGATATCCAGGACTTTGTCTGAGAGCAACATAGCCCAGATAATAGTTCAGTTAATCTGGTGGAGGGGATGTGTTGAGAGGAAAATCCCTACTCAACATATAAATCATTTAAACCCACATCCAGAGAACCCACGACCCGGGACGTCACACTAAAAATGTTGTAATCTCAAGGGAAGTGGGCCGCAACGTCACAATATTAATACAGAAATTTTAATTTTATTTTTCTATGCATCTAATGGAGCTTAGGATCTCAACCAACTCACACAAAGACCTCTTCATGGTTGGCTGGATGCTGCACGGGTAAGTTTTGTTCATGGGATGAGACGGGTCTCCCACTATCCCTTTTTAGTCATACCTAACGACATGCATGGTAAGTACTTCTTTTCTGTGTTCTTTACTACCCAGTCAGTGTTTATGGTTTGGGCACTGCAAGCGTGCTTCATAATTCTGGGTTTGATCCTAGCTGCAGGTGATTTGGCAGAAGATAACCTTGCATTGGTTTTGACTGTGGTATCCAGAGTGGAACATCCAGAAAACAATGGCAAAATAGTGAACGTAAAATTGCCTAGCGAAATGACAAACAGCCCACACAAAAATGCTGAGATTGGTTTTGCAGCATCCTGTAAAGATATGCAACTAACTTTCTTTCTTTCTTTAAAACCCTCAATGCAGCATAGGCCCTCAAGCAATTCAGGCCTTGCTGTTCTATCCTTTGCTACCACATGTAGTTCACCCTATGCCCTCCTCTACCTTTTAACTTAATTTTCTATCTCATTAAGTGTCATTTTTGGTCTGCCTTAATTTCTCTGACCCTGTGTGTTCCAGCGCATAGATATTCCCATATTACTGTTACCTGCTTTTCCCAACATGCGTTCTATCCAATGCCAGTGTGGTAAGTTGCAGTAATAATATTCCTTGATTTAGCTATCTGCCCAGTAACACGCAGGCACCATTCTTTGCTAAAAGAGTGGATACCCCTGAAATATTCACATATCCAAGCCAGTACCCAGAGCAGCAATACTCAATGGTCTATCATTCAGTTCTAATTGGGGTGACCATGATATGTTAGGCTGAACATAGGACACCCCAAGCGGTTCTATCTTTTTGTTATCTCATACTGCCACATTACTTTTCTCCTCCTATTTTTCATCTTTGAATCTTCTCCTTGTGCCAGATCAAACATATTTCAAACATTCCAGGTGATGATTCTGGGGATTAATGGTAACTTCTCAACTATTTCTATAACAAAAAATCTCACAGTATGTTTGTTAGTCATTACACAGACTACACAATCTTCACGTTGTCTGAAACCTTTTGGTCCCTAAAATATTTTTGTTGCTGTTGCAGAAAAATGCGGTAAGGCAAAAATTCTCCCAAAACACAATCATTTGACATACGTCTGTAATAAATTAAAAAAACCGTGTTGATATATCTAAATTTCTTCAGTCTAAAAGAGTTAAGATGATCATCATTATCATGTCATTGCTCTCATCACAATCTGCCTGAAAGGAACTCAGTTTCTTGCCAGCTCTCCTGCCTCGTGTACTTTCAAGGAGTCTTATATCCAGAGTTAGGACAGGAAAAGTCATTTCCTAATCTGAGATTCAGGTATTGAAAAGATTAATAGCAAATTCTTAACCTGACAGCATGAGACAGAAAAGGTTAAAAGTGAATTTCTTAACTGAGTCTGGGACCAAAGGGAACAAGTTAAAAGTAAATTCCTTACCTGAGAGTCTGGTTTACAGCAAGAATAAGGCACCCCACAAGCCTCAACACCTGGAGAGGAGCAGTTGAAATAGATGTTGGACTCCCAGTCTCTGTAGCCCTGTACTCCACAGCAACCCAGCTGCAATCATAATCAAGACACTTAACTACTCAAGCAGATAGGGAACTGTTAACTTTTCAATACCACGTATTATCCACCAGTAACAATCTTTTTAAAAAAAATGACATTTTGCAAAATGTCACTAAAATGAAACGCACTGTTATAACTGTCTGAAACTCTACCCTAAGCAACTAGAGGAAAAAAAAAAAGAAGCAGAAGAAATTAAGAGTTTTGGTCAGTTTTTATAAAAAGCCAGGGGATTGAAATCTAAGACCACCAAGCAGACAGACAAGCCTACTAGCTATTGCGGCATCATCACAGCCCCCAGGTCATTAAAAAAGCAGACGGAAAATGTAATTAAAAGTTATTTTTGAAATATCCTAAGCAGAGGAAACATTAAAAAACTAAGTTGGGTCAATACTGGTGTATGAAACGGAATCACCGTTATAAACAATCACCGATGTGATTGAGAATGAAGGCAACTTAAGCCAAAGACTCTGATGAACCAGTTCTATTATTGTAGAGGTGTTGCATAACTGTTTGTTGTGTGTTTGTGTAAGAATATGCATGTAAACTACCATCGTCCATGGGTGCAGATATGGGCTGTTAAGTTCACTAAAAATATTGTTTCTGTAAAGGAAATTCCATGCCCCGACAGTCAACCATGATCTAAAATATCGAGGACAAGACTGGCCGAGCCCGTTACACCTTCATTAACTTTTTCAGTCGAACTGGATACAAACGCATGCTGTTTTCCTGGGAATAATGTATCCTTACTTGATACAGACGCATGCTGTTTTACTGATAATAATGTTTCCTTCCTGGATACAAACGCATGCTGTTTTCCTGATAATAACGTATCCTTCCTGGATACAAACGCATGCAGTTTTTCTTGGAAATATGTACCCCTACTGGATACAAACGCATGCTGTTTTCCGGATAATAATGTATCCTTACTGGATACAAACGCATCCTGTTTTCCTGGGAAAAATGTATCCTTACTGGATACAAACGCATGCTGTTTTCCTGGGAAAAATGTATCCCCACTGGATACAAACGCATGCTGTTTTCCTGATAATAATGTATCCTTAATGGATACAAACGCATCCTGTTTTCCTGGGAATAATGTATTCTTACTGGATACAGAAGCATGTTTTTTTCCTGAGAATAATGTATTCTCACCGAATACAAACGCATGGTGTTTTACTGGGAATAATGTATCCTTACTGGATACAAACGCATGCTGTTTTCCTGGAAAAAAAGTATCCCTACTGGATACAACCGCATGCTGTTTTCCTGATACTAATGTATCCTTAATGGATACAAACGCATGCTGTTTTCCTGGGGAAAATGTATCCCTAATGGATACAAACGCTTGCTGTTTTCCTGATAATAATGTATTCTTACTGGATACAAACACATCCTGTTTTCCCGGGAATACTGTATCTTCACTGGATACAAACACATGCTGTTTTCCTGAGAATAATGTATCCTTTCTGGATACAAACGCATGCTGTTTTCCTGGGAATAATGTTTCCTTATCTCTCATATCTTCTGCCCAAAAATAGTCCACAGTAGATTCTAGCCGTTCACGGTTGTGTCTTTTTGGATTGGGTACAATCGCAGGTGGTTTGACCATCCATACTGTTAGCGGATCTTTATCTTTGTCTGTAATGGAATCGTTATCACTAAAGGCTAGATCTTCACGATCTGGTATTTCTGAACTGGATGAAATCGTAGGACTACTTAATGTCCATGCTGTATTCAGATCCATTTCATTTTCAGTCAAAAAAATGTCATTAATTCGGGCTAATGTGTTTAAAAAAATTTTTTTTTTTTTATATATAAGGGGTATTAGGAGCCGTTGTGGTAAAGTGGCTAGATGCTCGCCTACGGATCTGCAGGTTCTGGCCTTGACGGAGCCAGATACAAAAAAATAAAAATGACTTTGGCTTCCAGGTCGACATAGCCTTAAATGAGTACCAGGTAGAGTCCTGGGAAGTAAAGGTGGCCAGCGTGACACGTGACCAGCATGTTTATTTCTATGTATTCAGTACCAGGCAACTTATGCATTCCCTAGGTCATCCAAAAAAAGCAGACATTTCTTACTTTTTTTCTATCACAGACAGTCGTAACATTAAGTCATTACATAGGAAATCTTAGTTTTTACTTATTCTGATCAATAGTGTTATTGTTTAAACATCTCTGGACACCACCCTTGGCTACTTCAAAATAGAGCTTGTTGGAATAAGAGTTAATCACAGAATGTTACAGAAAGTTAAAAGTAATAAATGCCTTATAAAACATACACCTGCACAGGTGTGTGAGCACACACGCCCGCCCACCAGCATGCACACACACACATATATATATTTAGGTGTATATACTTTACAGGATGTTGCAGAGTTAACCTCAGCATTTGTGTGTGGCTGTTTGTTGTACTAGACAATCTTAGGTTCAGTTATTTTTCTATTGCTTCCTGAATGGTCAGCACTCGATACCACAGTGAAAAACAACGCAAAGCGGTCTGCTCAGCCAGAATTGAACCAGGTACCTCAGAACCATGAAGCACAATCGCAGCATCTGAACCACTGATGCCAACAGTATATGTGTGTGTGTGGTGGGGGAGGGGGGGGGGGGGAATATGTGTGTGCACGTGTCACAGTGTGTACATTTTAAAGAGGGGATAGAAGAAGAAGAGAAGATATAAAAGTAGAGAGAGAGAGAGACAGACGAGAAGAAATAATAGTTAAAGGATGCATAAGAGGACAATAGGTTCTCCTGTGTGGAGAGTGTAGTAATGAGTCTACACCCCAAACGATCAGGTAATAGTCAGTGGAGGTCTTATGAAGGAGAGAGTAGATATATAGTAAAGTGGTGGTGGTATAAAGACTACAGAGACTAACAATAATAGTACCACTCCTATACTCAACAAACTAATGATGGAATAAAAGAATAACAACTAACAATCATGTTTATTAAGAAACAGCATTACAAAGTCGTCTATCTCATGTTACACAACCGACAGATGTTATATTATGTTATAAACAGAACGTCCTCACATTATAAAACTCAGCAACTGACAGCAGAATCCACTCAACGATAAACTAGCAAATGACGCCTAGAATATCCTTCATTGCTCTACAAATAATAAGCCAAATAACAACTACAATCTAGCCATCTACTCTAATGCCAAATACCGACTACCATCTAACCGTACTGCTGATTGCAGTCCAAAGACCAGCAAACCTATAGCCAAATACCGACTACCATCTAGCCATACTGCTGATTGCAGTCTAGATACCATCTAACTATATCCAAATACCAACTACCATCTGATATAGCTGACTGCAGCCCAAAGACCAGCTAACCTATATAGCCAACCCAGCACACCATGACAGAAACTGCCATGTCACATAACATGAAGCAATATTTCGTGCATTATCTGACAAGTCATACAACAGAAGTATGGACTCAGCTCCATCATATCGACATCATCGGAGTGCCCACAGCATCCTTCGTTGGCGGAGATCTCAGCGCAAGTGTCTCCCTTGGTTCTACCTCTCTCCTTTGTACCTGAGTTCATGAACCTGTGTCTTCTTAGGTTCATGAACCATTCTCTTTCCCGCCAAAGATGGTTTTCCAAGCCACTTTGCATAATTGGATGGAAAAACCCCAGGAAATTGTGTGTCGTTGCCTTTGTTCGTTGCCCTGCTTCTGTTAATTTATGAGTATATTGGCCTTCAATAGTTCCTGCTTGGCCCCGCACCTACGCCTAAAGTCAATGCCCTCAGGGTTGCTATACTATGTAGCGACCTTCTTTATCTCAAGCGACTCTATAACTCCTTATTCCTCCGTGTGTTTGTTTTCTTCTATTTCCTTCTTGTAATAAACGTGACTGTAATCAGTACTGTCACACAGGTACAGAAGTACCTTGGGTTGGCTGCTGTATCGAATGACTGAGCATGTGACAACATAACACAGCGTCATGTCACTGCAATCATACACCAATAAATGCACCATCCAGACCAGCAGATTCATGAGAGATACAAGATGAGAAAAATGAGACAAAGATACTTGCGGTTTCTGCAGTTATACATAAATAATGACACACCCCAGTTGACATGGTTCTCTGAATGTAAAAGACTAGAAAGAGAAAAGACATACACTTCAACTTACTGCGGTTACACAGAAGCAAAATCAGCCAGTCTGCCAGATTCTTGGGATATAACAGATGGAAACAAAAAGAAGACACTGATACTTCAGCTTGCTGCAGTTATACAGACAGACAGGCAGGCAGACAGACAGATATAGGTAGGTGCAGCAGCAGCTGGCCGACTAGTTAGGAACACAAGGCTCTCATGTGAGAGACCCAGGTTCAAATCCCTGGTCACGCCGGGGACTTTTTCTTGTAAGGGTTAAAATAAAATCCTACCCTGCACAGTCTTTGGTAACAGCTCTAGCCATGCAGCCCTCAATCCTCAGGCTCAAAGACATCCCCCCCCCCTTCCGTCTACACTACAAAAAGTAGTGAATAAGGGCAGTAACCGGCAGTTTATGCACAGAAATAAACTCACCCAGTCCTGCTGGACCCAGTCGACCAGGTTCTTCAAGTCAAGGTCATCTCTGTAGTTCACTATCATGTTCTTGACCTGGGTCTGAATGGAATCTTTCACCTGAACCATGAATTTGATGGAGATTGCGATTTAGAATATGGCACACAGGAGAAGACTGACGGAATAGAACAATTAAAGGAAATACACACTAACAGACTGCAAAATTTATTGCCTGGCATATTTCGCTGCAACTGGCCAGGTAATATTACACTACTGTACTTTCCAATGTGGGTTCTGGGCCCCATTGTGAGGGGGAGAGGGGGGGGGGGGGGACAAGAATGGACCCTAAAAGCATGTCATAAGAGTCACCTAATTTGGAGCTTCTTTCGAAGCCAGAGTACATCTATCTGAGAGGCAAGGAACCAACAGTCTGCAAGCAAATGAGTCAGACCTGTGAAACGGATGTACACACAACATTCAGTTTCTAGAACAGGACTAGAGTCCAGAAGTGGACGAACAACCAGAACTTTTCACCAGAGTCTACTTACAGCCGGTGAACGTGAAGAAGAACATTCTTGTAGTATGCACCTTACAAGCTACAGCGCAATATTTTCTTCTTCTTCTTCTTCAGCATTTAAAGCCTTCGAAGCTCTTTATTGCAGATATCATCTGCATCTATTCATCTCTGAGACTAAGATGTCTGTTTTGTGATGAGAATGAGGTTTTACAATGGTGGGGTTGCCAGCCAAATATGCAAGGAAATTATCGTGCAATCAATTGTCTGTGTGTTATTTGTTCAAATTTACAATGAGGAAATGTTTTATAAATAATAAAATGAATCAGAATTAATTATTATTAGAATAAATCTTCTTCTTTTCCATTTTTCATTTGCTTGAAATGGATTATCTAAATCTGCATTGTTGTCTCTAGTATGAGCTTCATTGTCTTTTGTAATTCACTTAGTGACCCATAAAGTTTAGCTTGCACCGATGTTTCATTTGAATAAATCATTTAATGACAAACACAGTCAAAACTGACCACAATAACTTCTTCTTTGCATTCTCCGGCTGTTAACTCCAGCAGAAAGTTCTGGTTCTTTGTCCACTTATGGACTTAAGTCTTCTTGTTCAAGAACTTGAGTTTTGCATGCCAATTTGTTTAACCGACCTGGCTTATATGTATGCAGACTGTTGGTTTCTTGCCTCTCAGGTGGCAGATGAACTCCGACTTCAAAGGAAACCCCTAATTAATGGACTCTTACAACATGCTGGTTACAGAGGCAGTGGGCCTACAAGGGCCGCAGAACCCACACGGGGAGCCACAATAACTAATTAATCAGGTGTGAGGTCAAGACAGACACATCATCAGATAAACTCTTCTAGTGACGACTGCTGAGTGTGAATTAGACAGACACAACATGATTTAGACTCTTTTAATATCAGGCAACCAAGAGGTGAGGAAAAGATGCTGGCGTTGGATAGGACACACACTGAGAAAACAGGAGAACAGCATAACTAGAATGTCTTTGCATTGGAACCCACAGGGGTATAGGAATAAAGAAAGGCCAAAAAACACATGGAGAAGAGAGCTGAAGAATGAAGTTAGATAGATGGGGAGGACATGGGGAGAGCTTCATCTAATGGCCAAGGATACACTGACTTGGCGTGAGTTAGTTGAGGGCCTATGCTCCATTGGGGGATAGAAAGGCAGAAGAAAGAATATCAGGCAACTCGATATAAACTTAAAGATTACTCTTTACAAAGTATTATTTTTAGCACTAATGTTAAATTAGTATCTTTATATGGAGCTGAAACACGGAGAACTAAACAAAAAACATTATTAATAAACATTCATCAACCGGTGCCTGTGCAGAATAGAGGGAATTAAATGGTATTATAGAATCACTAATGTGGAGCTCTGAGAAAGAACTAAACAAACTGCAATCCAGAGATGAGGAAAAGAGGCTGCCACTGGAAAAACACACCCTGAAAAAAACCTAATAACAATATAACTTTATAAATATGTTAGTAACAGAGTAAAAAGCTGCATACAATACCAACCCAGTCCTTGTAGACAAATCCTAGAATGCCTGTAAGAAGTTCTGTGATGAATAGTATTCCTAATGAGATCATGAACTGAAATAGAAAATAAATCATTCATTTTTATATACTTTAAAAAAAAAAAAAACAGGTACAAACTTATTCACAACAGGTACAATTTATGGAAAAAGCGTAAGGGGGCAAACAAAAAAGATAAATACTTGGATGAATCTGACTGACTACATGACACAGGTGAGACACGAACAAGATCTTCAAACTATGACAGCCTATGTTTTTATTTATAATAGATTTTCCCCCTTCATGACTGCAGACAGTAACATCTCAAAGATGAGAATCACACAGAGGAAAATCCCAAAAACCCTGTGAAGAAAAGCAGCATAGTTATAGTGAGGCAACACAAAACAGCTATGAAGAAACCTTTGGTCCAGTGTGGATGTGTAATAATGTGATGACTGTGGTGAAATAACTAAGGGTTTTAAAGCACTGTAACAAGCTGAGAGAGGTGGAGACGTAGGCTCCATGGAGAGTGGCAAGCACTGTCCTAAAGGTCCCAGAAATAAACAGGCAGACTGACTGGCTGGGTCTGCACCATGTCGTGGTAAACTGATGCATGACAAGTTAGAGGTTGTCAAGGTCTTTTGTGAATGAACAGGGGGGGGACCACCAATAGATCTTTATGATCTGAGGAGAACGATGGAGCAAGCAATATGGCCGATGCTCTTCTTCTTCTTTTTAGCCTTCACCAGCTGTAAACTCTGACGGAAAGTTCTGGGTGTTCTTTTGTGTTTGGACTTTTTAATCTTGTTTCAGAACCTGCATTTTGCATGCACTTCCATTTTACAAATCTGGCTTATCTGTATGCAGAGTATTGGTTTTTCACCTCTTAGGCAGACACACTTCGAAGGAAACACCCCTAATTAGTTGGCTTCTACAACATGTTTATTGGGAAGGGGAAAGAGGAGAGGGGGAGTGGGTCATTCATTACATTCATATTTGTCCCAGGATATGCCGGTGTAAAAGGCAACGAGAGGGTGGATAGTCTTGCAGGCAAAGCCACCCTAGGAAATAAAGCTTCTATTGAAAAAATGGACATAATCAATGTTATACACAAGGTAACACGTGCTGAAGATCTTAAAACTGAAGATAATCATCTCTCTCTAACTCGAGTGCGAGGTTTAGCTATACCAGTTGGAGCAGCGCAACATGAAAACCATGCAGAACCTTACCGTTGCTACATCAACCAACACAGAAAAGGAGTGGTTAGCATAAACACAATAAGAAACAAACTTAGGAGAAGATCTGAGCACGTATGGGTATACCCGACGTGCAACGAGGATGATCTTGAAATGACCAATGAACAATGAACCTGTTATTAACTCTACCAGACCTGAGGCCCTGAACCTGTCCCCTTTACCTGAGCTCCTGGGCATTAACTCCAAAAACCAACATGATATACAAAAATATTCGTTACAACCAAACAAGTGGTTAGAAAAAAAAATGAAACTTGGAGGCATTGTAGAAAATAGGTTTACCATTTATCCAGCGCCAATATTCTACCTTTGTGTGCCAATCCACCCATCAAGATCAGCCTTGTTTCACAAAGTGAGCACCAGATGTCCCTGTTTGAGGGACACGCCCCCTTCTCCTACTTTTGATCTTTTTCTAGATTTATAACTTTCAAGATTTTCCTCATTATACCAGCTCTCGCTGACTGTGTCACTTCAACTGGGAACATATTCTTCATGAAATTATGACTCCGCAGAGTCTGAATCAACCAAAGTATTGATCACATGTTGGACTGTGAAAAGCCTAGACCTACTTCACTTTCCTGTCGAAGTATTTGGTTCATCAGCCGCTTGTTTTATTGTCAATTTTCATTTTTCCCACGCAAATCAACACAAATTGAATCCAAACACATGCGGGCGGACATCTGAGAAGACTGTCCGCGTGATCAGATTGCGATTGGCTGGTTATTTTTAGTTTGTGACGCATTGTTTTCTCATTGTATGCAAATTCCCGACATTGAGGGACAGGGGTTTAGAGGCAGGTTAGGAAATTCCCGTAATAGCGGGCTAGCGGTCTGGTACAGTTAACAAATCAATGATTGTGTATAAACTGGACCTGTTACTAAAAAACCGCCGATTGCGTGTAAACAGTACTACTATTTATATTTCACAGACACTGAAGTCATTATTAAACAATCACAATGTAAACAAAAGTAGCCATGTATTCTCCCCCAGGACTCCAGCAGAGATTTGAGCCATACAAACATAAGTAGACATGTATTCTCTCCCAGGACTCCAGCAGAGATTTGAGCCATACAAACATAAGTAGACATGTATTCTCTCCCAGGACTCCAGCAGAGATTTGAGCCATACAAACATAAGTAGACATGTATTCTCTCCCAGGACTCCAGCAGAGATTTGAGCCATACAAACATAAGTAGACATGTATTCTCTCCCAGGACGCCAGCAGAGATTTGAGCCATACAAACATAAGTAGACATGTATTCTCTCCCAGGACTCCAGCAGAGATTTGAGCCATACAAACATAAGTAGACATGTATTCTCTCCCAGGACTCCAGCAGAGATTTGAGCCATACAAACATAAGTAGCCATGTATTCTCCCCCAGGACGCCAGCAGAGATTTGAGCCATACAAACATAAGTAGACATGTATTCTCTCCCAGGACTCCAGCAGAGATTTGAGCCATACAAACATAAGTAGACATGTATTCTCTCCCAGGACTCCAGCAGATATTTGAGCCATACAAACATAAGTAGACATGTATTCTCTCCCAGGACTCCAGCAGAGATTTGAGCCATACAAACATAAGTAGACATGTATTCTCTCCCAGGACACCAGCAGAGATTTGAGCCATACAAACATAAGTAGACATGTATTCTCCCTCAGGACGCCAGCAGAGATTTGAGCCATACAAACATAAGTAGACATGTATTCTCTCCCAGGACTCCAGCAGAGATTTGAGCCATACAAACATAAGTAGCCATGTATTCTCCCCCAGGACGCCAGCAGAGATTTGAGCCATACAAACATAAGTAGACATGTATTCTCTCCCAGGACTCCAGCAGAGATTTGAGCCATACAAACATAAGTAGACATGTATTCTCTCCCAGGACTCCAGCAGAGATTTGAGCCATACAAACATAAGTAGACATGTATTCTCTCCCAGGACTCCAGCAGAGATTTGAGCCATACAAACATAAGTAGACATGTATTCTCCCCCAGGACTCCAGCAGAGATTTGAGCCATACAAACATAAGTAGGCATGTATTCGCCCCCAGGACGCCAGCAGAGATTTGAGCCATACAAACATAAGTAGACATGTATTCTCCCCCAGGACTCCAGCAGAGATTTGAGCCATACAAACATAAGTAGACATGTATTCTCCCCCAGGACGCCAGCAGAGATTTGAGCCATACAAACATAAGTAGACATGTATTCTCTCCCAGGACTCCAGCAGAGATTTGAGCCATACAAACATAAGTAGACATGTATTCTCTCCCAGGACTCCAGCAGAGATTTGAGCCATACAAACATAAGTAGACATGTATTCTCTCCCAGGACTCCAGCAGAGATTTGAGCCATACAAACATAAGTAGACATGTATTCTCTCCCAGGACTCCAGCAGAGATTTGAGCCATACAAACATAAGTAGGCATGTATTCGCCCCCAGGACTCCAGCAGATATTTGAGCCATACAAACATAAGTAGACATGTATTCTCTCCAAGGACCCCAGCAGAGATTTGAGCCATACAAACATAAGTAGCCATGTATTCTCCCCCAGGACCAGCAGAGATTTGAGCCATACAAACATAAGTTGACATGTATTCTCCCCCAACACATATTGGAATCATACAAAATTATTAAGCCCTTAAAAACATAAGCAGGCTGGTATTCTCATACTTCAAAGCCTCAACAAAGATGTGAGTCATACAGACAAAAGTTAGCATGTATTCTCGCCCAACCCAGATCTGACTAATACAAACACACTGAGTTCTTACAAACTTACAAACATAAGTAGGCAGGTGTTCTCGCCCAACCCAGATCTGACTAATACAAACACACTGAGTTCTTACAAACTTACAAACATAAGTAGGCAGGTGTTCTCGCCCAACCCAGATCTGACTAATACAAACACACTGAGTTCTTACAAACTTACAAACATAAGTAGGCAGGTGTTCTCGCCCAACCCAGATCTGACTAATACAAACACACTGAGTTCTTACAAACTTACAAACATAAGTAGGCAGGTGTTGTCTCTAAGAGCTCCAACACAGCCGGTGAAACTCATGAAGAACATTGATGTTCCGACCACAATAAACAACAGAGCAGGGTCCAGTGCAATGTTGGTCAGCCGGCCCACGTTCTGGAATACTTCTTTCTCGGACCATGCCCACAATCCCACAGCCAACAAGAAGAGACCGATTGCCTGAAATACAAACAACATATTCATCAGATTACCTGGACACCCAAATAATAGAATACTAATACCATGTGGTTCCAACATGTATCCAGATAGATTAAAAAAAAAGAAATGACACTAGCTCCCAGGTCACAGCAGCCTAAAATGGGTACCAAAAGTTCATGTTCTGGGAAGTAATGATTACCTGTGTCTTATTCTTCTTCCCGTTCACTGGCTGTAACACCAGCTGAACGTTCTGGTTGTTAGTCCACTTCTGAACTCTAGTCCTGTTCCAGAACCTGAGCGTTACATACATATCCATTCGACAGATTTGACTCATGTGTTTGCAGACTGCTGGTTTCTTGCCTCTCAGGCAGGATGCTCCGACTTCCAAGGAAGCTCCCAATTGGTCGACTCTTATGACATTCTTGTTGGGGAGTCTATTCGTTTTTTCCCTACTATGGGGTCCCCGGCCCACTTGGGAAGTTACCTGAGTCATGCTGACCCCATTACCAACAGAATATTGAAAAGTTTATAAAGAATTTGGGTCTAGCATCATATACCTATGGGTCACTGATGTTTTAAAAAAAAAGGGAATGGGTGTGCTCTATTTACTACATTTAATACCATGTGTATTTGATATCAAACACAATCCTGATCAAGTAGTAATATGTTGACTGGCCTGGGTGAGCATGCTGCCAAACATCTTGTGACCTCCAACAGGATCTATTATTCCACACGCTGACACCCTTCCATGTCATGATGACAGGCTGTCATGTCTATTCCATCACTGTCTCCTTCTATCTGACACCCTTCCATGTCATGGTGACAGGCTGTCATGTCTATTCCATCACTGTCTCCTTCTATCTGACACCCTTCCATATCATGATGACAGGCTGTCATGACTATTCCATCACTGTCTCCTTCTATCTGACACCCTTCCATGTCATGATGACAGGCTGTCATGTCTATTCCCTCACTGTCTCCTTCTATCTGACACCCTTCCATGTCATGGTGACAAGCTGTCATGTCTATTCCATCACTGTCTGCTTCTATCTGACACCCTTCCATGTCATGGTGACAAGCTGTCATGTCTATTCCATCACTGTCTCCTTCTATCTGACACCCTTCCATGTCATGGTGACAAGCTGTCATGTCTATTCCATCACTGTCTCCTTCTATCTGACACTCTTCCATGTCATGGTGACAAGCTGTCATGTCTATTCCATCACTGTCTCCTTCTATCTGACACCCTTCCATGTCATGGTGACAAGCTGTCATGTCTATTCCATCACTGTCTCCTTCTATCTGACACTCTTCCATGTCATGGTGACAAGCTGTCATGTCTATTCCATCACTGTCTCCTTCTATCTGACACCCTTCCATGTCATGACAGGCTGTCATGTCTATTCCTTCACTGTCTCCTTCTATCTGACACTCTTCCATGTCATGATGAAAGGCTGTCATGTCTATTCCTTCACTGTCTCCTTCTATCTTTCTTTCCGTACATCTTGCAAGTTATCAGAAAACGTTCCCGTTTTTCTTTTTTTTTTTTAATTGACTGGCACATTTCTCTCTTTCCAGATGATAGTGTCATCGTGTGCTATTCAGTTAGTCAAATGTTTATCCTTTACAGGACGTTGCAGAACCAACCACAGCATGTTTTGGGGCTGTTTTGGGTTTTCTAGGCAAATTATACGTTCAGTAGTTTGCCACTGCCACCTGAACAGTCAGCTCTTGGTACCACTGTAGAAACCAAGGCAAGACTAATTGTTCACAGCAACAACATGTAGATTACTCAATGTGGCTGTCGATAGAATGTTAAGCATTCTTTTGTAAAACGACGACGTCTGTGAAGCCTGCATACATATGCATGGTGTGTTCACTAAATGTCTAGTATTCACAGCCATGTGTTTAACAGGTTCTGTGTGACAGTCAAGAATTATGTGTCTAACCTCCAAAGACGTGTAATTACTGCTTAAATAGTATAATCAACATTGAGCAGTATTTAAAAATACAAAGTGTCTACTGCTGCAAGCGAGTTGGTGTAAGCAAACAGTAGTTGCACACTGATATTTGTTTCGGTTTTTCCATTTATATATATATATATATATATATATATATATATATATATATATATATATATATATATATATATATACATTTATATATGTGTGTGTGTGACATGTATATGCACACAGAGAGAGAGAGAGAGAGAGAGAGCGAGAGAGGGAGAGAGAGAGAGCGAGAGAGAGAGAGCGGGAGAGGGAGAGAGAGCGAGAGCGGGAGAGAGAGAGAGAGAGGGAGAGAGAGAGACAAAAGAAGGAAGAAAAAGAAGTACAAGAAGTAGAAGAAGAAGAAGAAGAAGAAGAAGAAGAAGAAGAAGAAGAAGAAGAAGAAGAAGAAGAAGAAGAAAAAGAAAACAAGGAAGAAAAAGAAGAAAGGGGGAGGGGGGAGGAAAAGATTAAAGGGGGAGGGGGAAGGAGAAGAAGAAAGGAGGAGAAGAGCGATAATGATTCAACGAACTTCTTATCTCTCAACCTTTTCACTGCAACGGAATAACGAATTCCCAATGGTCGCGTAAGAAACTGTAAAACCGATATTAATATTCAACTCGATACACAGAATACACCAGCGAGCGCGAGGAGACGACGATACCGGATGTTCCGCTACTGGTCATGTACAGAGTGAGTCAGAAATATGGCTACGTCAGTAGAATACTGATGCATGATAAGGCAGACGTGGTTAGTTCCTTGTGGGAGAACGTGTACAGTTCGGAGGAGCAGATTGATCACCACAGTGTGGTGAGATTGATGCAGTTGCGGTTGACGAGAGGTTCTGGCAGATGCTCGAGGCTCAGAGGAAAGGCAAGACGGGCGTTTAATCAGAATGCTGCTGGCACCATTAGTATCGGAACTATTCGCTGGCTGCTGAAGATGGGGACGGAGCGCTTATGGGAATGCCCCGAGTGTTGTGATGTCGGTTCTTGAATCAAATCAAATCTTGTCTTTCCTCTGAGTGTAGTGAGCCGGCCAGACCCTCTGGTTACACCCAGGTGCCTCATTGTCTCCAGGCCATAATATTCTTGTTTCTCTACTGATTCCGTTGCTTGTTCCCAAGGGGCCTTGACCACATCTGCCTTGTCATGTCTCACTTCACCACCCAATGGCGCAGATCCAGCCAATCTGTCTGCTTGTTCACTACCCACTACGCCGGCATAACCTGGAGACAAGATCCAAAGTATGCTCACTTCCCGTGATCTTCCTAGTGAAGCTTGCCACTCTGCTCGAAGCATCCCTGTCTTCGCCTTTCTCAGCATGCTTTCAGAGTCTGTTACAATTACAACATGTGTATACATCTTGTTCTCTAGCCACCGGAGAGCTGCAGTTACCGCCTCCACCCCCATTCTCATGCTAGATGTTGTGATGTCGTATGCTAGGCTGTCTTGCATGAAAGATTTCCCACAGGCTTTCTCTTTCTTCTCACCGCCGAACAGGCAGCAAACAAAGAATGACTTTCCAAAGCGAGCAGTCTGAGACAATACAGTGACTCGCGCTATCAACCACAGCCATAGTATTAACTGTATACTGTTTTGTACTGGAGAAGGGAGGAGGGCAGAGTCCCATAGGTCATCCTCTATGGTGAGTTAAAGATGGGCAGAGGATGTCGAGGTTGACCTCTACTATGCTATAAAGATATGTGCTAGCGGGACATGAGTTATACAGGTAATGAGGTGGACTCGTGGGAACAAAACGCCATGGACTGTGTTGCATGGACGGGGCACACCAGAAAGGGAATGAGAATGAAGCCTAAAGTCCAGAGGTAGACGAGCAAACGGAACTGTCCACCGGAGTTTACATCCATTTAACGCAAGAAGAGTTCTGGTTGTCCGTCCCCGTCTGGACTTTGGTCTCGTTTTAAAAATGTAGCTTTGCGTTCACATTTGATTTTTTTTTTCTTTCATATCTGGCTTATATGTGTGCAGACCGCTGGCCCCTCGCCTCTCAGGCAGATGCACTGCGACTTCAAAGAAACCCGCCCTAATTAGTCGCCTTTTACGACATGCCTGTTAGGGGGCAGTGGATCTATTCGCCCCCCAACCCCGCCCCAAAATTTTAAACATGCGCAATTAAACGTGTTGCCATTTTTCTGACTCACTCGGCGCATGAAAAACTACAAAAGACCAGTTTCCCCACAGGACGGCACCAGCCTAGGACTGCAGAACGCCCGCCTGCCGACCAACAGCTGTGATGTGTGCACGGGCTTCCTCGCCCCCCCCCCCCCCCCCCCCCGCTGACCAACAGCTGTGATGTGTGCACGGGCTTCCCTCCCCCCCCCCCCCCCCCCGACCAACAGCTGTGATGTGTGCACGGGCTTCCCTCCCCCCCCCCTCCCTGACCAACAGCTGTGATGTGTGCACGGGCTTCCCTCGCCCCCCCCTCCCCTCCCCCTAGCGGATACAACCACCCACGTTTATTTTGGTTGTGTTTGGGATCGGAAATAACAGAGCAGCGTGTATTAGGTGCTAAAAATATCGTCAGTGGCTGGAAGACTTAAGCGAAGAAGCGTGTTTGAGTAGCGTTTGTGGAATAGCGGCAGAATGACGGAAATGCAATATCGTAAAACTGATGGGAGGAACGAGGAGCGACTGGACGACGGTTACAACGCAAAGGCTCGCAGGCGGAAAACCCAGGTTCGAATCCACGTTAAGGCGGGGGACTTGGGAGGGGGGGGGGGGGCGGGGTCAAAAATAAAATCCTAACCGCAAAGTCCATGGCGACAGCACTAGTCATGCAGCCCTAAAACCTTCAGCTCAAAGACACCCCCCCCCCCCCCCCCCCCGAGTTAAATCCTTCGATTCAAGCCCCCCCCCCCTCCCCTTTTTACGCCTACAAGGCAAAAGTAATAAATACAGGCAGTAATGATATTGTATTGTGACAGACAAAAGGAACTTACGGGCAGCTGGTCGGAAAGACAAACAACAACAGCCAGATGATCGGCAAAGTGTGGGAATGATCGATCAGATA